GAACTCGCTGTGGGAGGATGTAGTAAGAGCCTGGCACCCTCAACCTCCCTTAGCCCAAGAGACCCAGCCAGGGTCTCTCAGAGCAACCAAGAGGCATATTCTTCGTGTTCCTTTGCTCACCCCTCTTTCCCAGCCTCTGAGAATCTCTTGGCAGAAGTTTTTATGGCGAGTTCTTCGAGGCAGGGATTTTAGTCTGTTTCTTCATTGCTGTCTTCCCAGCCTTAGAACAGCACCAGGCACATTATAGGCACTCGATACTTTTTTGTTGAATAAGTGAATGAAATAAGGCGAAACCATATGTTGAGGGAGAATTAGGACTGTGGACTTTATGTCCTGGATTGCCACAGCTTGCTCACCCTCCACCTTCCCCCAACACAACAGAAAGAAGAAGAACCATTCATTAAGCACTGAGTGCCCTGCGCTGGCCTGGGGGCTTTACAAACACAACCTCATTTAAATGGTCCAAAAACCTATGAGGTAAGCATTACCAATCCCAATAGATAGTTGAGGAAAGCGGAGCTGAAAGAGCTTCAGGGATGTGTCCCAAGTCACAGACCTGGAAAGGCCAAAAACAGGACTTGAGTGCAGCTCCTGTGGTCACACCCTTCTGGAATCAACCCCGTTGGGTTCTGTTTTCTGTGTTTCTTTGGGAAACGATGGACTCATAAGCCTAAACTTAGCTGCATAACCAGCGCTGCCTCCCGGCCACAAAGGGGACCCAGTGCTTCATGTTTTTTCCTCTTCTTTCCTTTGGCTTTATTAAACTGGCCATTTTTCAATATCAACTACTCAGACCTTCCCAAATAGCAGTGGGCCTGGCGGTGGCCAAGACAAGGAACTGGGGGAGAAGAAAGTGTGCGGGGCGTGCAGGAAAGAATGTCTGTCTTCCCACCTGTGTGTGGTCCCCTCACTTCACCTCGTTCTTCAGCTTCCTACTGCAGCCTGCCCAGGGCTCCACTCCATGGCTTCCTTCTGGGCCAGACCAGCACCCAGCCCGGAGGCTCCGTCCACTTTGGCTGCAACGCTGGCTACCGCTTGGTGGGGCACAGTATGGCCATTTGTACCCGGCACCCCCAGGGCTACTACCTGTGGAGCGAGGCCATTCCTCTCTGTCAAGGTGAGAAGCAGGTGGGATGGGGGTAACAGGTGGCTTGGATCCTACTCACATCTTGGATTTGTCCCAGGACCGATCACTTTGAAACATGGGTTTTCTCATTGATAATTAATTCATTCTTTCAAAAAGCATATATTGAGGATTTACAATCTTCCCAGCACGAAACACAGTCTCACTGTTTTCAAAGCGGTGAAGGAGATGGATATTAGCCACATAAATGCAAAATGACAGAGGAAGTGCTATCTCGGGAGTATAAACTGTGTCATGGGAACTGAGGCATCAGAAAGGACCTACCTCCTTCTGGACAGCTATCAAAGGCTCCCAGAAGAAGCATGCTTGGGCTCAGGCACATGGAGCCAGGAGGGTTTGGGACCAGGCATTGGCAAGGCAAACATTCTAGGCAACAGCAAGAGCATTTGTAAAAGCACAGAATCGAGAGAGACAAGACATGCAAAGCGATTGGGGCTGGCTGAAGCACCAGATTGGAGGAGGCAAGGGGCGGAGGGAACCAGGGTGGAACAGCAACCATCACCATACTGCTTTCAGCGATCAAGCTCGTGGTATATACCAGGCAGTTGGTATGCATTGCCTTTGATAATTGATGGGATTTTTTTTTCCTTAAATTAATATAAATTAAGACTAGAAATCTGGAAAAAAAAAGCTATAGATAATACAAAAGAAAAAAGTGAAAATAACCTATAATCTCATCAACTGAGATCACCACTGTTAACATTTCAGTACATTTCCTTTGGTCTTTTATATATTGTTTACAAAAATGGATTCATCAATATATAAAACTCTTAATATTAACATCTATCATATACTTAAATATACTTCCTCATCATTATTTTCAGTAGTGGCACAGAGTTATGGAAAAACTCGTGTAGTCAAGTCTTATTCTATTATTGGTCATTTGAAGTTCTATATTTTTTGCTACTGTAAACAGTGCTGCTATTAAAATTTTTGTAATTCCATTGTTATGGACATTCATATTTATTTCTTAAAATAAATGATCAAACATGAGTTTGTCAAATCATAACCTATGCAAAATCTACAGCTTTCAATACTTATTGCTCTCCTGAAAGTTCGTCTTCACTTATACTTCTACCAGCAGCATGCGAAAATTGTCTTTTCTTCCACATTCTCAACATTATGTACTGAATTTTAAAAAGGAAAGAACTTTGCCAATTATATACACAAAAATGGGAAATCGTGTGGATATTCGATGTCGTTATTCTTCGGTCCCTAGTGTGGTGCCATACTTTTTAATGACACCTATCTACTCTGACCCTCACAACCTGCTCACCTGTGTCTGAGCTGTCTCAAAGGACAGAGACAATGTGCCATGAATATTCTGTCTGAAGCCCTGAGCAAAGGTCACAGAGAATCAACTGTCCACAAATGGCAAATGTCATTTGGCTTTGGTCTCCGTGTCTCTGTGTCAACACAGAAAACGAGTCTTTTTTTCCAGAGGGCCAGCTGGAACCCTACTGTGCTTCTCATCTTTTTTATCTTCTGTTCTTGCCCAAATTAAGCCCCTCTAGATTCTGTCCACTCACCTCCACATTGCTCTGTGCTTCTTCTCCCCATCCGCCCCCTGCCCCAGCTTCCCCCTGACACCCTCCCTCTCAGCCATTCCCTCTGTGTTCTCTGGATTTCTGGTTCCATGGCCAACATACAATACACCCTTGGTCACCACCCAGAGGGCTCTCTTCACTTCCCTCCTCCATAGAGACTGTACCTCTCCTCGGAAAACACGGATGCTTGCGGCCCTTTCAAGTGGAGAATGTTAATCCCCCATTTCCCACATAACCCAGGACCAGGAAAGGCCTGGCGTTCTTCCACTTTCTTATTGCTATTTCCAAACCATGACTTCTCCACTGATAAATAAATCTCATTGGAGAGTCTATGCCTCCTAATGCTTCCTCTCTCCTTCTCCAAGTCTTTTCTATCACTACGTATTCGCTCCCTCTGAGATCTCATTCCACCACAAGCTTCGAATACTTGGTTTATTATATCCCCTCCTCTCCTACCCACAAGAAGTGTCCCTCTTACCTCAGGTTTTGGGGAACTGTCTTTTGACATGGACATCAGGAGACAGGCTTTTGATCTCTCAAGTCTGAGAATTTGTCTAATGTCCTCTTAGTTACCTGCAAGAGACAAGCCGGACCAAGGGCAGTGACAAGTGGCTGCTGTCCACTTCCTTTACCTGCTGTCTCCAGATTGACCCTCCATGCAAAATGTCAGTGGGCATCCAAGTATTTCTTCCCAAAAGGTTCAAGGAAACAGTTAGCTGATCAGATCTGATAATTTGGCAAACCTAATATCCTGAAGGAGCTCGAAGTCTTGCTCTTTGGGCATTAAAAGAACATCATATTCAGATGCTCCCGTATGTCTTCATTCCCTCTGTTCCCAATCCTCCTCTTTTGGTTCCACAACCAGTCTGACTCCCTCTTCCATCTTGGTATCCCAGCCCCTCTCTCTCTGGACAATTCATCCTTCCCCATATTATAGTGCAGCCCTAGTCTTCTGCCTCTGGAAATTCTAATAGCATCAAGCATTATTGCTAGCCAATCTGGATAGGACTTTGCTCAAGCTTATTCTGGCTCTGAGTGAGGGAGATCTGAGCTCTAGACTAATTGCAGAGGTGGGGGTGGGTGAGGGCTAGTAGTGGGTACTCTGATTAATCTCTCTCCATTTGTAATAGCTCCTGAACTGTCAAATGGCAAGCATGGTTTATAAGTATTAATTTCTTTCAAAGACCACACAGGCAACTCTTACATAAGTAATGTATACTCCTCCTTATTACACAGTGTTGTCTCTGCTCCTTATAAAACAGTGACCCCGGCCATGTTGCTGTGCACCTGTCTCTCCTGAGCTGTCACCTTGAGATTCTTTTTCTCCATGCTCCTGAGTGAGTTCTATCATTTTTATATTCCATATCTTGCCCTTTCTTGGTTTTGATGATCTTTTTGATAGAGGATAGCCTTAAGTAAATTTCTCAGAAAGGGTTCATGAGAGACATATTTTCTGAGTCTTTAAATATCTGAAAATATCATTATTTTTGCCCTCACACATTGCTTAGTATGTCGGCTAGGTAAAATACTAGGTTACAAATCATTTCCTTCAGCACTTTAAAAGCATCATTCCATTATCTTCGAACATCCATTGTTGCTGGGAAGTCTGATGCCTGTCTGATTCTCAGTCCTCCACAGAGATGCCATTTTTCCCCTTCTCTCTCTCTCTCTGGCAACTTATAGGAATTTCTGCGTGTCTTTGGTGTTCTGAGGTTCCATGGTGGTGTATCAAAGAATGGTTCTCTTCACATCCCTTTGGTTCTCTTTCAATCTGGAGACTTATAGCTCTCTTCAGCTCTGGGAAATCTTCATCTGTGATAATTCCATCTCTTCCACGTTTTCCGTTCTCTCTTTCTGGAACACCGCCCATTAGATGCTGAATCTCTTGGATTGATTCTCTGTTTTCGGTCCTTTTTAATCCTTTTCAGTCTCTATCTTTTTGGTCTATATTCTGGGAAATTCCCTTTAGTTTTACTCTCCAGCTCTTCTATTGGATGCTTATTTTTTTGGCAATCATATTTTTAATTTAAAAGAGGGCTTCCTTGTTCTTTTCTGTTGTTCTTTTTTCAAAGCCCTCTCTTCTCATTTTATGAATATAATATATGACTTTGATTTTCTTCAGATACTACTAGTCACAAGTTTACAGATTATATATGTTCAATTTCCTGAGTTAGCTATTTCCTAAAGAAGACTTTTTTCTATTTTTCACATGATCTTAGCCTAAAAGCCGAGAAACAATTTTTTTTTTTGTATTTTTAACCTTATCTTTGTTTATTTCTTTAATGCTGCTGGTTTTCTTCATATGTATAGTGATCCTTGATTGTTCATATTTTAAAGTAAAAGCTAGGTTGATTTTTCTAGGTAGCAGATGTGAGTTAACTTTGTTGTTATTACATACAGATATTTTTGCCTACTGGGTCTCTCCTATGAAAAAGAAATTGAGTTGAGTATGTTACAGAGATGAACAGGAAGAGAGGCAGCCTTTAGGCCAAGAGCCTTTAAATCCTAGAATTAAAAGAGCTTTACTCTGGGATGCCAGCTCACACCTTAGCAGCCTGAAATCTTTCAGAGGAATTATTGAGTTTAATTTTTGTTTTTGTTTTTTCTTTCTCAAGTGGAAAAGAAAAATCCTCTCTATTTAGTTAAGAAAACAGATGCCTGAATGTCTCTTCACTATATTTGTGGGAAGGGATGGAGACCTGGTCTCACCCACAGCTCTCCCCGCTCCCCATGTATTTATTTTGGTCTGCAGCTTCTTTCTTTGTTTTTTTGTTTGTTTGTTTGTTTGTTTGTTTTGTTTTGTTTTTGAACTCTCCTTTACTGGTGATCCTTATATTTCCATTTTTGTTAAGAAGATTTTTTTCTTTTAATAGTATTTAGTATTTATATAATTTTGTTAAGGTCTCAAGGAAGAGGAAAGACAAAAATATATACATGTGTTCTCAGAACACCATTATGAAGCAGACATGCTCATGACATTTTTTTCCCCTCTGCTAGCTCTTTCCTGTGGGCTTCCTGAGGCTCCTAAGAATGGAATGGTTTTTGGTAAAGAGTACACAGTGGGGACCAAGGCTGTGTACAGCTGCAGCGAAGGCTACCACCTCCAGGCAGGTGCTGAGGCCACAGCAGAGTGTCTGGAGACAGGCCTGTGGAGCAACCGCAACACCCCACCTCAGTGTGTCCGTGAGTCCTTGGGCAGTGGAAGCGGGTGTAAGGAGGGTTTGGGCAAGAAGCTGAAAATATTTCTACAAAAAGTGAACTAAAAACTCAGTAATGGGAAAAAACACGTACGTGGAGATTGGGGATTCAGGAAGCAGAGACAGGTGGATAGTGTCATCTACCAACTTAGGTTCCCATTTGAAATTAGTCTCAAAGCAGTGACATCCTGAGATGTTTCTATAAATCATTACAGAACTTAGGAATGGCCTGGTCCACTTGTTTTTATATGGAAAAGCTATTAGAACATTAGCATGAATGTCTTTTGATCACAGAACTCTAAAATGACACAGGTATAGTTCAACTGTAAGGCCAAAGTCATAAACTGACAGATTAATGGGCCATATTCAGTCTGAAGATATTAGGTTTTGTGTTTTTCTATTGTTTTGTTTTGTTTCTTTGGCCTGCGGTGTGCTTTATAAAATTTTGAATTGTTTCCCAACATTAAATTCAGGAAATTTTACATAAAAATCCACATCTACATTCCTAGCTTCTCTTGAAAAATGAAGATCTGACCAGACAGAACTTGCATCTCATATCCAACAGCCAGCGTTGACTGAGTCCCACCTCCCCCTTTTATTGAATGAGGGGCAGACCTGCCCACCCTAGTTTACCACATTCCCCTAGTTTGCCTGGGGGTTAAAGACTCTTGCATTCATCGTTACTGCATTACATTCTCCTGGTCCCCAGCTCTGGACTCTTGCCAGTGTCTTCCATAATTAATTAATCCTCCTCTCTGCTCGTTGTCTCCCTAGCCGTGACCTGTCCCGATGTCAGCAGCATTGGCGTGGAACACGGCCGCTGGAGGCTCACCTTTGAGACACAGTACCAGTTTCAGGCCGAGCTGATGCTCATCTGCGACCCTGGCTACTACTACACTGGCCAGAGGGTTATCCGCTGTCAAGCCAATGGCAAATGGAGTCTTGGGAACTCTATGCCCACCTGCCAAAGTAAGCCCAGGAGGAGAGGGTGGGCAGGTTTGGCACAGTGCCTCCTACCTAAATTGGGGAGGAGGAGAAGATGGGGATTGCCAGGGGTTACAGTGTACCTCTTTTTGAACACTCACCTAAATCAGGTGGGGAGGTGCCTACTCCTTTAAGGAAGTTCTTCTTAGTATTTTGTCATCTTATTAAAAAGCAACTTTGGGGGTGGTTCCATAGAGTAGTGGTTAGCATGTTGCTTTATACGCAGAAGGTCCTGGGTTTGAGCCCCAGTGGAGCCACGGTCCATACCCCAAGTGCGGTAAGCCCCCTGGGTGTGCCAGGCCCTGGGTGCTCCAGGCCCTGGGTATGCACCGCGAGCACATGGGAGGAGAGACCCTGCCTTCAGAGATCCAGTTCTTAAAGAGAGATGGCAACCAGGGGTGGAAGTTGGGGGAGGGAATTTAAAAAAAAAAGCACCTTTGTCCACGCGATCATTCACTAATTCATTTATTCAATATTCATGTCAAGTATTGTACAAATATGAAGATAAAAGGTTGTGGTTCTTGCCCGCAAGGAGTTTATAGTCTACTGGAGAGGCAGACAAATAAGGATGCAGTGATGATGTGGTGTGATAAGACCTATAATGGAAGTGTATGTAGGAGGAATGGGTATAGCACAAGGGACAGAGAAAATTATTTTTCTCTGGTTCAAGATAGTTTCAAAGTTCAAGGTCCCTGAGAAGCAACTCTGAGACAGAGGTTTATTAGGGAGTGCTCCTGGGATCGTCACTTGTGGAAGGAAAGGGAAAGGAAGGGAGGGGAGGGGAGAGGAGG